CCTAAACCCTAAACCCTAAAACCCGAAGGCGCGAATCACCAGGGGAAACGTTACAGACTCCTGGAGGCGGAGCCTGCACTCCGACCGCTAACACCCCCCCCCTTAACAACAAGCCACCTAAGCCCGACAAGTCCTGAAAATACCTAGAAGCCCTTTAAGCCCTTTAAGCCGTTTAAGCCCTTTAAGCCGTTTAAGCCCTTTAAGCCCTCTAAGCCCTTTAAGCCCTTTAAGCCCTTTAAGCCCTTAAGCCCTAAGAAAAAACCTTACCCCCGAGCTTGGAGGGTTTTGCATAGGACCAGCTGCCTGGCGTGAACACACCAGAACTTTAGGAACCCGCAAGAAACGAACAGCTTGAGGCTTGCGATGGCAGAGCTCTGGAACGCACAATACAACCCCTCAACTCCCGACCCCTAAGCCCTGGACATAAGGAGAAACCCTAAACCTTAAACCCTCAACCCTAAACCCTAAACCCTCAACCCTAAGCCCAAACAAGTTCTGCAGGCTTTCTGGCTGCAGTCGCGATGCCATTCATGAATCCGCGATGCCAGAACCTCCGCAAAACAGCAAGGATCATGGCCACATGGCTGCACTACTAGGAGGTTCATGGTACTTGGTTTAGGGTTTAGGGTTTAGGGTTTAGGGTTTAGGGTTTAGGGTTTAGGGTTTAGGGTTTAGGGTTTAGGGTTTAGGGTTTAGGGTTTAGGGTTTAGGGTTTAGGGTTTAGGACCCCAATTTATAGCCCCTTTGGGCTTGTAAGTGAGTTCTAACTACGTTCTACTTGGGGTACAGAGTACCCTGAACCTCCAAGTACTCGTCCGTCCCAAACCCGGAATGGCTCAGAACCGCTCATGAAATGAAATTTGCAGGGAGAAACAAACGAAATCATTGTCAAGATGACTTAGCCCTTTCTTGATAATACCCGAAACGATCCAGGTTGGCCCACCCCCGGAGCCTGGTGGAGCACTTTGGGGGGGCTTTAGGGCTCAAGGCAAAAACCTTTAGTAGCCCTAAACCCTACATCCTGAAACCCTAAACCCGAAACCCTAAACCCTAAACCCTAAACCCGAAACCCTAAACCCTAAACCCGAAACCCTAAACCCGAAACCCTAAACCCTAAACCCCAACAAAGGCCTTGAGGAAGCCCAGGGAGACCACGGCGGCCCCGACCTTTCGCGTCAGCGTCGCGGCCTCCACCTGGGGTTTAGGGTTTAGGGTTTAGGGTTTAGGGTTTAGGGTTTAGGGTTTAGGGTTTAGGGTTTAGGGTTTAGGGTTTAGGGTTTGGGGTTTGGGGTTTGGGGTTTGGGGTTTGGGGTTTGGGGTTTGGGGGTTTAGGAATTAGGGTTTAGGGTTCAGGGTTCAGGGTTGGGGGTTTAGGGTTTAAGGTTACTAAAGTTTGGGGTGTGGGTTGTGGGGTTTGGGATTTGGGGTTTAGGGTTTGGGGTTTAGCCGACATGAATGTAGTGCGCGAGATACAATAAGTGAGTGAGAACAGCATTTTTTGCTACAGCGCCTATGAATATAAGAAAATCGTACGACCCCTTTAAAACCATAAGATGTAGTAAATTAGTGGGTAAATGAAGTGCACGCCCATATTTGTGGGATTTTAAATGGGCTTTCCTCCAGGCACAGTATAAATAGCAATAATATCATAAACATACTAAAAGACTATTTAGGGCAAATTTCTGAGCCTTTTTTTTTTTTAGGGGGGGGGGGGGGGGGGGGGGGGGTAGTAGGGGCCTCCTCCATAAAGTAGGGGGGGGCATTCAGGACCGTGCGACTGTTTGAGGGTCCAGAGTGGGTCCGTCCACTATTGAGTCCAGTCGTCCGGGTGTCGTCGTGCAGAGCTTCTTTACAAAACAATTGCAGGGCCTAGCCGTCCCTTTTAAACTCATATAAGCTCCCCTATTGAAATCACAAAAACTCCCGTGGGCAGTTTAAAGAGAGCAAAAACCCAGCTCCCACTGTTCAGGCAGGGGCGAAGACACTAAAGCAGGCGCAACATTACCCTACAGGTTATGCGCCGTAGATATATAAAACATAAACAGGCGCCCAGGAAAAAAAGGGACCATCAGGAAACTGACTAAATATGGGGGTTTACGAAAATAAGGGACCCTAATACCCCCCCAAACCCCAACTAGGTACCCCCAATTCCGGAAACCCCCATAATATGAAGTAGGGTCCACATTTACCTGTATCCCCAAAAGGACACCAAGTATATACACTCACCCATATTTATAAGGCACCCTATATACACTCACCAATAACAGCAATACCAAAGACCTTGCTTCATATATCCTAAGCCCCTGAGGTTCAAATGACCGGAAGAGGAAGGCCGGCGCTAAGTTGGCTTAGGGAATTTGGGGTGTAGAACTTGGGATGTTCTTCCTGATACTACCAGTCCTTACTAGGGATTAAAGGACTGTTAGTATAAGGGGGAACATCCCAATGCAGAATGAACCCTAAACCCTTTGCACAGGATGTCGACAGTGGCTGCCTTCATCGCCACCGCCGTTGCGCGCGCTGCGGCTGGCCGCCTCTGCGTGGCTTCGGGGACTTAGGGTTTAGGGTTTAGGGTTTAGAGTTTAGGGTTTAGGGTTTGGGTTTTCTGAACCGTGCTCCCTTTTTGGGTGCCCGCCCTTTCTGAGGCTCCACACACACAAACGGGAGCATCATGTAGAGAAACCCCCAATGTGGGGAAACCCCAAAATCTGGACCGCAGGACTTCAAATCTCAGAATGGTGAGCTTTTTCTGGCATAATATGTCCATAGTGTCTATTGTCAAGAGCTTGGCAAGGGATCCTCATAGCCCAGAATAACTCCCCACGCGCGTTCATCCGGTTGGGCTGGGGTGGATTTAGGGTGCCCTTAATCCTACAAACATTGAAGTAGGCGCTATGTAAGACTGTATGGGGACTAGGGCCCAGAGAACATCATAGATCTTCTAACCGAGTGAAGCTGACTGAGGCTTTCACGCCGGGTCGGCGGCCTCCTCCCGCGCCCGGCAAGCGCATGGGAGGGTTTTGGGTTTGGGGTAAGTAGGGTCGTAGAGTTCTTAAGGGAGGGAGGTTCAAGGGGGCTACGATAAGGTTCCCTAGGTACCTACCCCACATGAACCCCGTCTGAACCCCCCCTCCCTTAAGAACCCTGTAATCGGGTTTGTGCCGAAATCCGAGTCCCCCTCCTCCTCACCCAGCAACATCCTGTCTCCCGCTAAGCACATACGGTTAAGCCTGAAGCCACACATAACCTGAAGCTGTACCCTAAAACCCTGAACCCGACACAACCCAGCCGGTGTTAAATCCTAAACCCTAAACCCTAAACCCTAAACCCTAAACCCTAAACCCTAAACCCTAAACCTAAACCCTAAACCCTAAACCCTAAACCCTAAACCCTAAACCCTAAACCCTAAACCCTAAATACACGAAAACCTGAACCCTAGACGCTACAACCACCGAAGGGGCCTCTTCACTGCCACACCTGTCGCCACCAGCGCTGCTGCCGCTACCAGAGCTCCTCCCGACGTGCCTTAGCAGGGTTTTGGTTGAGGGTTTTAAGGTTTAGGGTTAAGGGTTCAGGGTTTAGGGTTTAAGGTTGCAGGGCTTCAGGTTTAGGGTGTTTACAGGCTTAGGGTTTGGGGTGTAGGGTGTTCGCGATGTTGGGTTTGGGCTTAGCAGTGTACGGTTTCGGGATTAGAGCTTTCGGCCGAATAGAGAGTTAAGGCCTATAAACCCAGAAACAATCCCTGTAGACCCTATAAACCCTTAGGGCTCAGGGCGCAGGGCTCAGGGCGCAGGGCTCAGGGCTTAGGGGTTTAGGGCTTCATAAAGCCCTTGTTCTGCCGCATCTGCTGGAAGAAGTCCCGCTGGCAAGGCCATTTTCCTGGAGAAGAAGTCTCGGTCCGCCTGCCTCACGGCGACGACGTGAGAGTCAAGACCTGCATCACACGGGCTCCTCTACAAGACCTGCAAAAAGTATGAGCTGAAGGTTGTTTGAAGGTTGTTGGGTGGGTTCTGTGATTTAGGGTTGCGGGTTTAAGGATTTCAGGGTTTAGGGTTTTAGGGCTTAGGCTTTAGAGCGGTCATTTTCAAAGACGCGTATGGGCTATTCCCAAAACAAGCCCCCCCCCCCCAAAAAAAAAAAAAAAAAAAAAAAAAAATGAAAATACGATAATCATCTTCGGAACCGACACCCCCATATGGACAACGTCTGCGATGGAGGAATCCCAGATTCCCGAGATGGAAGTCTGAAGGCTTTGGGTTCAGCATCTCGATCTTTCGACTCTGAATCTTGCATGGTTCAGTTTAGGGTTTAGGTTTCGAGGTTCAGGGTTTAGGCTTCAAGGTTCAGGGTTTGGGGGTTTGGGTCTGGGGGTTCATTCGGGGTACCCTGAACGTTGTGTCCTGATTCCAAAATGAAACTCTGAGACCAACTTGCTGACCGGGGCGCCAAGTTCCGGAGCCTCCTGCGGGGCTCGCGGGGGTGCGGACGCAAGCCTGCTTCCAGCCCGAGCTCGGGCTTCTGGGGGTTCAGGGGACTCAGGGGGTTTAGGGATTTTGGGGTAAGGATTTTGGGGGCTTCGGGTTTATGATTTTAGGAGAGTTGGTGGCCTGGGACGGCCTGAGCGCCGCCCCAACGCTGCATTGTCGCTGGAACCGTTTAACCGCAAAACAATACTGTCCAGCTTCGAGCAGTTCCCGGCCATCTACATTGCACTTCACCCGAAACCTAAGCCCGCAGCCCTTTGGCAACATCGACCTGGCCCACGCAGGCGCTTCAAGCATTGAGGATGTGAGGCAGCAACCGCTTTCCCGCCGAGGCCTTTTTTTGGATTTAGGTGCGACGTTTCCTGGGCTGTTGTGCGAAGAGCGTCTAGCAGAAAATCCCACAAAACCCTGAGGGTTGTAAGTTGGGGGTCTTAGGGTGGGCAGGGCTGCAGACCGATGCACTCTCACACGGCCTGCTTCCGCTTTTGCGCACAACATTCAACCTCACCCTACTGGGCGGTTGCCGAAATTAGGGGTCCCTTAATGGGGTCCTGATTCTAAGGGAATCCTACTATATGGGGGGTCTATTTAGGGGTCCCCTGTAGAGGAAACAAAAGGCTAGGCTCGCCGATCGGTGCCTGGTGGCGGGAAGCACCGGCGCTGCGAATGCAAGGGCGGAAGCCTTTGGGTCTTGCGGAACGGCGCGAGGTTTTCGGGCTTAGGGTTCCGGGAAAAATGTGGGTTTAGGGTTTAGGGTTTAGGGTTTAGGGTTTAGGGTTTAGGGTTTAGGGTTTAGGGTTTAGGGTTTAGGGTTTAGGGTTTAGGGTTTAGGGTTTAGGGTTTAGGGTTTAGGGTTTAGGGTTTAGGGTTTAGGGTTTAGGGTTTAGGGTTTAGGGTTTAGGGTTTAGGGTTTAGGGTTTAGGGTTTAGGGTTTAGGGTTTAGGGTTTATGAGCGGTCTTAGGGTTTTATATAACTCCAAACTTCAGGATTCAGCTTCAGCTGCTGAAAACTCTGGGCTTCGAGCTCTCTTGCCCCAAAGATCCACGCAGGGTTTAGGTTTAGTGTTTAGGGTCTAGGGTCTAGGGTCTAGGGTTTAGGGTTTAGGATCTAGGGTTTAGGGTTTAGGGTTTAGGGTTTAGGGTTTAGGGTTTAGGGTTTAGGGTTTAGGGTTTAGGCTTGAGGGAGGGCTTGAGGGAGCTTTGGGGTTGAGAAGGGTTTCAGGGATGAGGGTTTCGGGGATGAGGGTTTTTGGCGAAGCTGGGCCTTGGGGGTTGAGGGTCTAGTAGCGTGACCTGTGACTGCAAGACCCTGAACCCTAAACCCTAAACCCTAAACCCTAAACCCTAAACCCTAAACCCTAAACCCTAAACCCTAAACCCTAAACCCTAAACCCTAAACCCTACCCTAACAAACCGGGTCTTTGCATGAGGCCGAGCCCTGACGCCCAATCTCGAACCTTAAGCCCTAAACAATTAGAATAGGGTTTTGGGGGTGACTCTCGTATAATTATAGAGGGACCATAAGGGAATATTATTCGTAATTATGCCGACCCCTATTGTAACCGCACCCAAGTTTCGGGCACTGTACCAAGCCGTACTGTACCCTTAGGATGCCGAAGCTCACCATGGGGTTGAGGGCTTATAGGGCTTAGAAATTTAATGACTCTGCAACTCTCTGCAAGTAGGAGCTCCGAAAACCGAACCGCCCTTGGCCCCGCACGCCAGAGTCGGCAAGAAGTGCCATGGCAGCAAAAACGCCGGAAAACCCGGGGCTCTCTGTGTATAAGAACGACGCTTTAGGAGTCCACGTGGGTAGGCTTCGTCTCTTGAGGCTCTGCTGGCTTGGGGCTGCAGGAGCAACGTCCGAGGCCTGGTTGCTCGAAACGCTGGGAGGAGCGGCAACGGCCGGCGGGGTTTGGCTTTGAGGGGTTTGTAGCTTTGGGTCCTGCGGCAGGTCGAACCTAAACCCTGAATGAAACACGAATCTCGGACATAGGCCCTTGGATCTTGCTTGTAGGGTTTAGGGTTTAAGGTGTCGGGTTTAGGGTTTAGGGTTCAGGGTTCAGTTCAAGGTTTAGGGAAAGTCCCCCTTGTGGAATGGAAGCCAGCCTTCAACAATAAACCTTAACCCCAGACCCTACTGAAACCCTAAACCCCACACCCAGGGTTTGAGCAGTGGCCCCAAGTCCCCCAAAAGCCAAAGGGCTTGCCCCACGGTCCCCAATACGTAGGGTTTTGGATTTAGGGGTTTAGGGGTTTCATTAGGGTTCAGGGTTTCAGGGGTTTCGGGTTTTGGGTTTAGGGGTTTAGGAGTTCAGGGTTTAGGGGTTGAGGGGTTAGCGTCTCTGCTCCAGCGGCTGTCAACAATTGTAGCGCTGGGAGTTCCCACACAACCAGGCCGAAGCACAGTGGCCACTCGCAGGGTTTGAGGGTTAGGGGCTTAGCGGTTTAGGGGTTTATGCACGTCGTCCTGCGGACGATCCATGGGGTCAAGGGGGTCTAATTTTTTTTTGCGGGGTTTAAAGGTGCCTAAAGGGGTTTAGGAGCTTATTAAACCCGAGGCCCTGAACCCTAAACCCCGAACCTGCGTCCCGACTTTTCTCTCAGGATGAGTCTTAATCGATGGACGCCTGACTCATGGGCGCATCAGCTCATACCTGCGACATGCTGCCGAGGCGCCCGCACTGGGGGCTTAAAGTAGACCCCCAGATAGTAGGATTCCCTTATAATGAGGACCCCAACAAGGTACCCCGAATTTCGGAAGCCCCTACATGGTGGGGTTTAGGGGTTTAGGGTTTAGGCATTTGGGTTTAGGGTTTAGGGTTTCGGGCGAGACTGGTGCCCTTTTTGGTGTGTGAAAGTGGCTTATTAAGGGAACCTTTAAAAGAAGCAATAAAGGCCTACTCTAGCCCTAAACCCTAAACCCTAAACCCTAAACCCTAAACCCTAAACCCTAAACCCAAAACCCCAAAACCCCAAAACCCTAAACCCTAAACCCAAAACCCGACCGGCCCCC